GATTATTTCATTATTTCTTATTTTAATTTGTCGTTAAATGAATATTTTATTTATTGTGTATATAATATTTAATTATAATTAATAAAATATTAAATAAACAATCGATTATTGAATATTTTATTATTTATGACTAAATGTTATTTTATTATTTAATTGTTAATTGATTATTTCATTATTTTAATTTGTCGTTAAATGAATATTTAATTTATTGTTTATATAATATTTAATTATAATTAATATAATATTAAATAAACAATCGAATGTTTAATATTTTATTATTTGTAACTAAATATTATTTTATTTTTTATAAACTCTTCTTTCGTGAATTTTTCAAGTTGTTTAACAAAAAAACATTAATTGTGTTATGTAATATTTATATTAATCGTATATTTAGATTTTTTATTTTAATGAATATTTCATTATTTATTTAAATTGTTTATTCAATATTAATTTATTTATTTAACATTTCATTGTTTTTGTACTTGTTTACTTTAATTGTTAATTATTTATTTCAATTAAATATTAAATAAAGAGTTAAAATAATTAATTTAGGATTGAATAAATAATTAAATAAAATATTTATTTAATATTCAAAATTAAATGTTTATTAAACAATTAAATAACTAATTTGGGGGAAAAAAAGTAATTTGGGGGATAAAAAAAAGGGCCGTCTAGCAGACGGCCCAGTAAGCTGGGCTGGGTGTCCGGGCCCAGATGCCTAGTGACCCAGAAAACTGGGCATGAGGATAAAATGGGCTTTTTATTTCCTTTTAAGCATTTAATAAATTTTTGCATTTTTTTTCCTTGATCAAAGGCTATTGTGGAAAAGTGACCGGGTCAACCGGGTATTTTCTACAATTTCCTCTTTTGAAATCTGCGATTAGGAATAGAGGTAGTGTTTCGAATGGGCCGGGCTTGTCGACTCGATCATTTAGTGGCTCGGCTCAACCCGTACTTTGTTAGAACTAGATTGAATTATTTACAAAAATGGTCCCTAACGTGTGATCCACATATCGGATCAGGACGTACCGTTTCAATCTTGACAGTGACGTTACCGTTTGAGTGCAAAATTAGTTGTTTCTGTCATTTGCCATCCATTTGTTCGTCAAAAGGTCAAGTTTTTCTCTTGAAAAGGCGATTAAACCTTTACTTTAATTAGCCCTTGTTTGAGCCCCATTTATAGAAAAAAAAAATGCATTTTTGAATAGTAATTTTTGGAGAATGTGTGGTTAAAAATAAATATATATTTTTTTCCAATTTAC